ATTCTTCTGAATTATAATTTTCAAATGGAGTATGTACCATCTAAAAAACTTGGTCATGCAGATGGCTTATCAAGGTTAATACCTAAGCACACAGAACCATTGGAGGATATGGTAATAGCAGCCATTCAAGCGGAAGTTGAAGTAAAAAATACTTTATGTGACACGATAAGAGAACTTCCAGTAACACCTGATGAGATTAAGAGTAAGGCAGAGGTGGACGAATTTATTATAAGCACGAAAGAAAAAATCAACAGTAACCAACTGGATGAGGAAACTTATTCAATTTGTGATAACGTCCTGTTATATAGTGACATGGTCGTAATTCCTACGACATTACAGAAAAGAATGCTCAAGGAATTCCATGTAGGACATCCAGGCATATCAAGAATGAAAAGCCTTATGCGCTCTTTCGTCTTCTGGCCAAACATGGATAAGGATATAGAAGAAAAAGTCAGGGAGTGTAGAGGATGCGCATTAGTTATGAAAGCTCCTCCGACTCAATTCGGTTCGTGGGCAAAACCGGACCGACCTTGGTCGAGAATTCACTTGGATTTTGATGGACCGTTAGATGGTTTCTACTATCTCATTGTTATAGACAGCCTATCTAAGTGGCCAGAAGTACTGAAATGCAAGAACCCCACATCCGAGACAGCTATTAACTTCCTGTATGAACTATTCACTAGGTTTGGAGTTGTAGACTGCATTGTCACAGACAATGGAACGCAATTCACGTCTACCGAATTTAAACATCTCTGCGAGGATTATCTAATCGAGCATATAACCATTCCACCATACCATCCAAGAAGCAATGGGCAAGCGGAGAGATTCGTGGATACAAGAGAGCCCTGAGAAAGGCTAGTGGATCACCGACGGATAAGTCAATCCAACAGTTCTTACAAGTTTACAGGGTCACTCCGAATGCAAACATCGAAACTTCGAAGACACCTGCTGAGGTCATGTTCGGATGCAAGGTTAGATCAAGTTTCCACAAGTTGTTACCAAACCAGGATAGGCCAAACCTCAAAAAACCAATAACAAAAAAACGGTATAAAGTTGGCGAAAGAGTTTTCTACAGGATGCATAGAAATAATAGGAACTTTTGGGAGTCTGGCACTATTGAGAAACAAATAGGCAACATGGTCTATATGATTAAGGGACCAGATTTCGTGCACAAACGTCACACTAACCAAATCCGGAAAAGATACTCGAACAGTGAGGTGACCAGATCACCCGAGGAGGACATCATGGACACAGTGTTTGATACTTTTCAGGTTCCCATACCAGAGACAGCTCCTGAGAATAGGAGGTCAGAAAGAAAACGGAAATCTCTATACAGGCCATGATCATTTATATGGACTATTTTGTTGATCCTACTTAATATGTAAGGACCCATCAATTCAAAAGCCTCAGCTCCATCATACAAACCTTGGGTGACATCAAAGGCACTTGTGTCTGTCTTTTTAGCCATGTTTCACCATTGTGGAACAGAACTGATTTTCAACAATATAGAATTATTTCTACTTGCTTGGGTGTTATTTTGGTAAAATCCTTAGCAAAGTTCAATGCTTCAAGTAGCCCTTGTTTAGATATGGAGCGATAGAAATCCTTAATGTCATATTTGATGAATACATACATTTTAAAAATCTTTTATCCTGTGAAACCAAGAAATACATTCACCTGTATCTTTCCACTGGTTACAGTTTTCATTTGGTTGATCAGACAGAATGAAGGACTCTTAGGAAAATTACATTTGTGGTCCTTTACAGTTAAAAAAAGCTTGTTTTCTGAACCCTGTCACTTATATCCAGCTTAACTGTGACAACTATGTATAGCTATCCATTCCTGAAGTTTTCTTTTGTGTTTACATGCTATGGTTGAAACTTAAGCTTTAGTGTTCATTAAAATGTGAATAGTTATCCATTATGGAATTTTTCTTTTATGTTTGAATAAAGTGCATTCAATGAACATTCAAACATAACAGAAAAAATTCCATAATGGATAACTATTCACGTTTTAATAAACCTAAAGCATAACTGTCAGCCATAGTATGTAAACGCAAAAGAATAATTCAGGACTGGATAGCTACACATAGTTTTGCCTTACCAATTGCACCCCTGATGATGATCTCAGAAAGAAATGGGAAATACTTAGTTAAAAAAAGTGATTCTCACTGCTACAGTGCATTTCTTGCCTCATTTAATTGTAACATACAGAAAAATATTTGTGAACATGATCAATATAAGCAGAAATAATGTTTGTAACTTATTCAATCAGATGTACCTGAAAGAGAATTTAGTGCCTAAATACATGAATATATATATATTAAGACATTTTTATGTTTATACATTCTTTTTTATAGATACAAATATTTAAGTAAATGCTCTGTTTATAATAAACAGTATTAACAACATTTACTGGACTGAATGTCCAAAAAATTGTCATAGAAAATATTTACTGTCCTCTGACATCAATCAAACCTTATCCTATATAAAACAGTCATATAGACCTTCTGCTTTTACCAAATTCACCACAGTGGTGAATTTCCGATTAAAAAGATCAGGCTACTGTTTGTTTAAAAACAGTAAATTAGGATATAGGTTCAATTTTTTAAAGGACATATTTTCTATGACAATTTCTTGACATTCAGGCCAGTAAATGTTGTTAATACTGTTTATTATAAACAGAGCATTTACTGAAATATTTGTATCTATAAAAAAATGTATAAACATAAAAAATATGTTAAAATAATTGTCGGATTTTGTCCATTTCATAATATATATATATATATATATATATATATATAATAAAAACAATTTATTGGGTTATATATATATGTGTGTGTTTTGAAACAATATACTTTCATAAACATTTTTTTCCAATTGTCATTTAATGTATAACTCTGTTGTGATCACTTACTCAAATTCTTAACACACACACACATATATGTGTCTGTGTGTGTGTGTTAAGAATTTGGGTAAATGATCCCAACAGAGTTATACATTAAATGACAATTGGAAAAAAAACGTTCATGAAAAGTATATTGTTTTGAAACACACACACACACATATATATATATATATATATATATATATATATATATATATATATATATATAACCTGATAAATTGTTGTTATTATATATATATATATATATATATAAACTATTTATTATTATATATATGAAATTTATCAAGAAATATTTACCAAAGAGCATCCCTGAATAATTTGAGCCAGGTAGGATGGCTCAAGTTCACCAAAACATTGAATTGTTCTATAATATTGAGCAACAGTATTTGCCAATCCCTGAAAATGAATGTGAGGAGACTGTCATAGAAATAAGTTTAAAAAATGAAATATTTTATTAGCGGTACAAAACGGTGGTTTATGGCAGTTAAAATAAAAATGTAATATTTATTTAAATAATTGGATTCAAACAAATATCTTGATGGTCTATAATTTTGCAACGAATAATTAACATTCCAAATGATTTTACTGCTTTCTTCAGGTGTATCATTTGTAAAGAAAGGGGTGAACTTTAATGTGATTAGCCTTTTTAATCAGCTGTGGTAACAATAGGAACAATACAAAGGAGGAATTAAGTGGTCTGAATGAAGTTTTCTATGAAAAACTGAATAATGATTCTTGTTTTAAGACTCTACCACCATTTCTTAATAAGCCCTGCTGGTAGACGTAATACATGCTATTTTAAAAAAACAAAAACAGAGTATCTATTTCAGACATGGGTATCAACCAAAAATAATGTTTGAAGTAACAAAAATTTGTGATTAAAAGTAAATCTATTAATTCTTTAGAAATAATGTATTGTATATTGATGATATAAATTCAGCTTGGGTTCAATATTCTATTGAAAGAATAGCCACAGGGTCGCCACAGTGATTACCAATATCAACATGGAGTTGAAATCCCGCTCAAGACTCTTCTTTGCCTTCAATTTGGTTTAGGTATGAGAAGATGTTTATTTTCTGGATCTCATCAAGTGAACATACAGGGATTGTTGGATCATATATACTATATAGATCTAGTTCATCATAGAGATAGAGTAGAATAAAAACTTCTTTCCTCACATATCTTAATGTTCTGTACAAAGACAGTCATCCTTTCATGAATATCCTCATATAGCTAACTTAGTATTATCTAAGTTAAATGGGCAGTGGTGAATGGTATTGTCTGTGTCTCATGTTGTTGGAACAAACCAATCCAATTGATATATTAGTGATCTTTTTCTGCCACCATTTTGTTTAAAAAACAAAAAAAAACTAAAATAACAACAACAAAAAATCAGACCTCTACTCTTTCCTTACAAATTATACACCTGAAGGCTGTAGAATGGATCAGCCAAAACATTGTGATAACAATATCAACAACACCAGGAAGTTCAATTGCCTGAACAAAGCAATTTAAATAGCACAGATAAAAAAAATGAATTCTATTCATTTATTGGAATCAAAACAAAAATACAATCTTATTTTCAAAAATTGTATTTTAATTAAAATGATTAAAAATGAACTATATGTATTCTTTTTTCATTTAACATAATATACATGATACTGCTCAATATTTTTTCATTGGTTTTACTGAGAGAGAAATAAGTTAGCCTTTCTGTTAAAAACCAATGAACAGCAGAAAACATCAAGTGAACTTTTATCAGTATTTTGACAATCAGAAGTTTTAATTTTACCACTGGCAGTAAAAGAACTAACATTTGATAGAGAGATCACTATATATATATATATATATACACATTTGGATTAACATCCTTTTTGCCAGTTTTAAAACAAAAAATCAGGCTAGGTTTTTTTTCAAATAAGTTTTTTTTCCATGCTCACTATGAGATATTTCAATCCTAAACATCAAATTTGAATTTTCATAAAAATATTTTTTTTTAATTTTTGTAAATAATGATTTTGAAATTTGAAAAATCATGTTATCAAAATTTATCAAACAAAGGAAAAAAAAGAGTTATGAATACAAATAATTACCATCAATGTTTCTTTTTTGCCAACTTCAGTTGGTCCTACAAGACAAACTGCTTGAATATCATAAATTGCTTGGGCAATAAACAAGAAACATTTGTCAGTGGCTGGAGTAACAATAATGTTGGGACAGCTGCCACTGAACTCTCCACCATAAGGTAGATTGTTGTTAAGGATGACCAAATGAGGCTTTGGTATATCATCTAGGAATAAAAAATGAAAAAATCATATCACTATAAATGTATTTTCCTCTATCAACAATTTAATGAACATAATTAATGCAATGAAAATTATAGATCTGAATATGATAGATTACTTGTAATACAGATTCATTGAACTTAGTGCTTTTTTAATATCTTTCTATTCATGCTCAGGAGACACTTTCTAAAGCAATATGTCAAAAATATAAATGAATACAGGATTGCTTAAATAAAATAATAAGCCTTGTGCTGGACTAAGTTGAAAAAATATCCACAAAAATGAACTTATTTTATGTTTTAAAAATATACTGAGGGGAAAAATTATGAAATTCTAGTTCAGTTCCAAATTTATAAAATCTAAGTAAATACTTTCTGAACAAATTATAAGTTTTTACTTAAATACAACAAAAAAAACAAAAAATGTACAAAACAATGAAAAGAAAATTTCAAAAAGTTTTCAAATGTTAAAATCAAAATGTTATAAATATTTTGACTACTTATTTTTCATCTATTTTTGTTGTCTTTTTATCACAATATTATAGAGGATTCATTTTACCATTCAACTAAAATACTAAAAATCAGAATAAAGTAGATGCTTAAGATATTCTGATTTTGCAGTTAAGTTTAATACATACATACATATATATATATAATATATATATATATATATATATATATATATATATATATATATATATATATATATATATTTGACTATGTCTTATTAACAACCAAGAAATGTGCATAAAATATTCTGTGTATTTGTATCAGAAAGTACATGGCCATCTGCCTCCTAAAAATATAATTTGAGAAACACCAAAAAGATGTAATATATGAAGACACTTTAAAATCTGAATAAAATTCAAATTGGAAAAGAATTTGAAATTTCATTTTTTATTTTATTTTATTGAATTTTGTTTTTTTTTCTCATTTTTTTCTCTCATTTCTTACAGACCTTTTTGTAAATGTTGAATTTCACTTTTAATCTAAGCATAAATGTGTGCGTGTGAGTGTGTGTGTGTGTGTGTATATTTTGGTCACAGATGTCTAACTGTAAATTTGCCAGTTGTAAATGTAAGCTATATGATCTTTTATACAAGTAATTTGAAATTTTTTTCCTTCAATGTGATAAGGCCAATTTTAATCCTCTTCTCACATTTATTCTGAAAAGGATATTATGACTTAGTATAAGTTAAAACTTAGTAGTTACCATAGACATTTTCCTAAGTAACTTCTTGTAATGCAGGTACTAGATGAAGACTCCACTAACCCTAGATACCTAAATGTAACCCCGTTCAGATTAATTTTGCTTTCAAGTTAATATTAAATCTATTGAGAAACCTATGTTACACCCACCCACTGTTTCCCAGTAGGTCTTTTAGTTCTCATCTATGAGTGAGCTTGTCTTGGTATCTGAAGTCTCAGGCTAGTACAATGTCTTTAAGTTTAGCAGTTCTGTTGCCCTGATATCTGGGTACATAAGACATATACACTCAGTGTATCACACCTGTACAAGCATTTCCTGTGAATGTGACTGTCTTACTACCAAGTCTACAGATCCTGTAAGTACCTGACTCCTCCTGCTATCCTCTTTCATCAGTAGAAGTAAATAGGTTTAGTTCATACTCCTCCCTGATCTTTTGAACAGGTGTATAGGTTTATCTCTTGTTTCCTGTTTAGGATTGTGTGGCGGACATGAAACAGAACCTGGGACGAGCACAACTGGTCGCGACTTGCCTTGTCCCCGCCAAAAAAGAGCCCGTATTTGCTTAGCATGTAAAGCTACTGCAGTTGAAATGAGGGAGAAAAAAAGCACTTACCGCTCTGCCGTAATCCATCCTCGGCCAGATAACGTAAAAAGAATGAGGGGGACTGGCATCGCATTTTTATGCAATAACGATGCAATGCATTATGGGACATGGACGCAATGAATTATGGGATCACAGGAAGACGCAAGGGATTATGGGTACATGAACAACTATAAAAACAACTACTTTTTTCCAAGTCGGGGAGTTCTTCGAGGGACGTTCATGGTTGACGGCTAGAACGGGCAGTTAGTGTGATTTGGAGACAGAACTCAGGAAGGAACGACTCAAGTTTGAAATACCAGTTGGGAGAGCTTGAATTTACTCGCTGGTTACTGTTTTCTTCATTCGCCTCAAGCTATTTCGGCATATTGATTCTTCAAAATGGAAGGCAAGGTCTTTGACGTCCGTTTGATTCCAGAATTCAGCGGCGCCCCAACGGATATGCCCATTGTTGAATGGATAGAAAATGTAGAATTGGTCTGCGAACTTTGTGCCATGGACAAGATCGAAGCATCTTACCATTACGACTTCGAGGCGGTGCCCTTGCTGTATATAGACAACTCCAGTGGAGAGAAGAGGGCAGACGCGGAACAAATTAAACGGGCCCTTATGACTGCATACGGACTGACAGATTTAATGCGTTCGACCAATTTATGGACGCGTTTTACCCAGGGGAAATCTGTGGATGAATTCCTGGAGGAAATGCATCGTTTGACGTGGCTAGGAGGAAACCGCTACCTGATCGGTGGATGGCATGTGCATTTGTGTCAGGACTGCCACATCATGTTAGGCAGCTTCTCAAAGCTTCTTCCAGGATGGACGACATGAATCTAGAACAGATTCTGACCCAGCAAGGGCTATTATGACGGATGACGAAGGGTGCCAGGTATTGGCCACCGCCTCCGTGAGAGCTAACGCTTTCCAGAAGTTGAGGTTCCCCTGCCAAACCTGTTAGCAGAATGATTACCTGCTACAAGTGCTCTGGACCCAAACCATATGGCGAAGAATTGTACACAAGGACGTCAGGAGAGGTCAAACAGAATGCAGAGGTCTGGTCGCGACAAGCAGTGTTTTTTCGATACAACGGCATTGGACACATTTCCTCAGAATGCCAGGGAACGCCCAAGGGGAGAAGGCGTCAGCGCCAGCCTTCTCCCGAGCAAGTAAAAAACCGGAAGTTACCCACCGCACAAGTATTTGTAGATGGAGTAGAGTGCACAGCTCTAGTGGATTCAGGATGCTCACAGACGCTGGTGAGCAAGACTGTGTGTCGCTGCTGGAAGCAGGAAGAGGTGGGAGTGTTGACTGCCAACGGAAGACCCTGAAGTGCCGTGGATACGGTAAAAATTAAATTGGGCATCGAGCATATTCAGCCCGTGACTGTTGAGGTTCTGGTCGTGGAAGGGCAGTTGCTAGGATTTGATCTTCTTCTCGGGATTGATGCAATCAAAGTGCTCGGAGGTGTTTACTTGACCGAATCAAGCGCTTGTTTCAGAAGCCTGAACATGTGCTGCCATTGTTATCAACAAGCCTGACTTTAGAGTGACGTTTAACCCGAGCACAAAAAATGTGGACTGCATTGTGGAAGTGGGCGAGTGGTTATTCACCTAGCAAGTTGGTCAATAAAGTACAGGAGTACACAGTACCTGGCCACGTCCGGGATGCATACGATGAAGAACTAGCACGGTGGCAGCGAGACAGATGGTTACTGCCATATCCTGAGAAAGAGCTTGGCCCACCCAAGGGATTAATTCCCTTAATGGCGGTTGTACAAGAACACAAACAGAAGGTCCGACCGGTACTTGACTATCGGGAGTTGAACGGCTTTTGTAGAACGCATTCACGGCTGACGAGAGGTGTGTGCGCAAAAATTACGAGAATGGCGACGACAAGGAGCTGACGTATCGCTGTTGGATTTGAGAAATGCATACCTACAGATTCACATTGACAAATCGCTATGGCCGTTTCAAACAGTGGTCATTAAGGGCAAGCGGTTTTGCCTTACGCGTTTGGGTTTTGGCCTGAATGTGGCACCACTTGTCATGAAGTCAGTGATTGACATGATAACGTCCCAGGATCAGGACATTAAGAGTGCCACGTCGGCATACGTCGACGATATATTCATAAATGAAGGCCTAGTTTCTGCAGCGCGTAAGAAAGACAGCACTTTGCAGATTACGGGCTAGTCTGTAAAGATCCGGAGCAATTGAGAGACGGAACTAAGGTCCAGGGTCTGCAAGTCTGGGAAGAAAGCAACTCCCTTCGATGGAAGCAGGAGGTCAGGTTCCAGAAATTGCTCAAAAGGTGACCCGCCGAAGCGTATTTTTCCTTGTGTTGGAAACTTGTGGGTCATTTCCCTGTGTGCGGTTGGCTTAGGGTGGCAACTGCATTTATTAAGCATTATGCAAGTACACTAACCAAAGGATGGGACGACGAGATAAAGGATGCCCCTCTTGGACGTATGCTGGAGGAAACAGTGGCCAGAGTGCGGGAATCAGATCCTGTCGGCGGAGACTGGTGTATGAACGGCAATGAAATGACAGTTTGGGTGGATGCAAGCTCCGTACACGGGAGTAGCACTAGAGGTGAATGGGAGCGTCATGGAAGATGCTTGCTGGTTGCGTCCAACCAATGATGCCAAACACATTAATCTTGCTGAGCTTGATGCGGTGATCAAGGGCGTGAATCTTGCCCTGCAGTGGCAGGCACCAGTTATGCATGTGGTCACCGATTCAGCATGTGCATCGGTGGGTGTCTGACACCCCCTGACAGGAAGGACGCCGCGTGAACACGAAGGCAGCGGGTGAAATGCTGATGAGGCGGGCGCTTAGAGACACTGCGAGCTTTGGTGGAGGAGTACGCACTGACTATGACTGTGACGTTGGTGAAATCTTGTCAGAACCGCGCTGACAGCCTCACCAGAGTGCCGCAAACGCTGGTTGGAGATGCACAAGAAAGGAGGAGAACCGGTGCAAGTGAGTTGTGTCACTGCAACGAGCCAGTTGAGTAAACGTCAGGTGATCCACATCCACCAGCAGAGTGGGCACCCAGGTGTTAAAAGAACAATGTACTTTGCTAGGACTGTAGATCCAACGGTGTCTAAGGAACTGGTAAAATCTGTCGTTAGAACCTGTGAAGCCTGCCAATCGATCGATCCAGCACCAGTGCATTGGAAGAAAGGAAATTTGAGTGTGAGAAAAAACTGGAGCAGGTTAGCAATGGACGTAACCCATTGCAATGGTAGCCATTTTCTTACGCTCATTGACTGTGGTCCCTCCCGTTTTTCAGTATGGCGGCTAGTGAGATGGCAAGACTCTGCTGGTGTCATTCGTCAGCTAGAGACAGTCTTCTACGAACGAGGCCCGCCGACCGAAATACTGACTGACAATGACACCACATTCACTTGCAGACAATTTAGGGAATTTGTAAACAGCTGGGGCGTGCATTTAAGGTTCCGGTGCGCTTACGTGCCGTCTGAAATGGCATTGTGGAACGCAACCCAGAAGCGTCAAAACCATAGCGAATTTTAAAAATTGTTCAGTCTTGGAAGCGGTTTACTGGCATAACGTCACACCTAAGGACAACCTTTCACCTTCCACGGCACCGCTGATGTATTGCACACATACCACGTCCGGGTGAGAGGCATCGACGCCGCCCCTGCCTGAATCACAAATAACCGAAGGGAATACAAGGAAGGGGACATTGTCTGGGTTAAGACTCACGTGGTAAATGCACGACCAAATTTGGAACCGGACGTGTGACCAAGGTGGTGAGTCAGCAGTCAGTCGGTCGATGGAACGCCTTCGTCATGTTAGAGACCTGCGCCCTTTTTTGGGCTCAAATCCCACAACTGACGAAGAAGACACAGAGGATAGTGAACAGCCAATACACATAGAGATGGATTCAACAACCAATCACTCAGATAGCGGTAGTTTGCCAATAGATCGGGACGTGTCTAATGAGAGCCCTCTGATGAAGAAGTTCAACCAATCCCCCTTCGGAGGAACCGGAACAAAAAGACCGTATCCTCACTGTCATCTGTGTGATCAGGAGATCAGGGGGGAGTGTGGCGGACATGAAACAGAACCTGGGACGAGCACAACTGGTCGCGACTTGCCTTGTCCCCGCCAAAAAAGAGCACGATTTGCTTAGCATGTAAAGCTACTGCAGTTGAAATGAGGAGAGAAAAAAGCACTTACCGCTCTGCCGTAATCCATCCTCGGCCAGATAACGTAAAAGAATGAGGGGGGGACTGGCATCGCATTTTATGCAATAACGATGCAATGCATTATGGGACATGGACGCAATGAATTATGGGATCACAGGAAGACACAAGGGATTATGGGTACATGAACAACTATAAAAATTACTTTTTTCCAAGTCGGGGAGTTCTTTTTGAGGGACGTTCACGGTTGACGGCTAGAACGGGCAGTTAGTGTGATTTGGAGACAGAACTCAGGAAGGAACGACTCAAGTTTGAAATACCAGTTGGGAGAGCTTGAATTTACTCGCTGGTTACTGTTTTCTTCATTCGCCTCAATTGTGTTTCTGGTCCTTCTAAAGCCATCTCCTTATGTATCACTTTACCCTGAGTAGCTCCTGGGCCCTAGCACAGGGCAAATATCATTATAACAAAAATAAAGAAAAAAAGAGAAGTAAACTTCAGCCAGTGTGGAACAAAGACAAAATAATAGAAACATTTATGAATAAAACAGTTGAAAGAATCTGCTCACTTAGTATAAACTCAGATAACTCAATCAGTAGAACAAGCATAGGCAATAATAGCTTATGAGAACCATTAATCAGGAAGGAACAAACAATGAAATTAAGATCCCAAAAGCAAGAGATGGAAGCAAGAGGAATGATATCAGCACAGAGGTCGGAAGGAAATAATCTAAAGAATACAGAGAAATATCTATGCTCCTCTCAAAACAAAATTTATCAACATTTCAGAAAACAATAGACAACTGAGGGAGGCTGGAGTGTACGTGGGGCCAAAATATTGTGGTAAAAAAAAAATTAGAAATTAGTCTGAACCAAACACAGTCAATGGTAATTTTGTAAATTTATTTAAGAAACAAAAGGCTGCGTAGAAACAAAAGAAAAAGTTTTTTTAATGTACAAACCTGCATCAGGAAGTAGGTAACATTTTATGGTTCGTCTCCATTCAAAATCTGAGCATTCTTTAATTTTTCTTTGGCAAATGGAGTCCAATAAATCGCGTAAGTAATTAGTTTGCTATAAGTAAAAATAGGAACAAACACAAATCAATTTAATGTTTACATTCTTACTATAAAAGTTGTATTTGAAATTGTTTATTAGAACAATAAAGAAAAATAACCTGATATGAATAAGCAGTACTTTGGCTTTAGTTCTTTAATTGACAAACATGTTATTCTAAGAATTATGCAAAATAATGAATAGTAAAATATAATTGATGAAATACAACTTATCTCTCTCTTGGATTAATTTGAATTATTTCCATCCTGACTGTTATCTAAAGTTCTAAAAGGAAGTATTTTCATTATTTCACACATTTCGGGATTACAGGTTGAGTATCCTTTATCTGAAATTCCAAAATCCAAAAGTTTTTCTGGTGCTGACATGACTTGCCACAAATGGAAAATTTCAGAAAGTACTGGAAAGGTTCCTAGGTGATGTGCAGCTGTTGTAAGTGACCTCATCTGCCCTGGGTTTCCCAGCCCAGCTATGTAGCCTACATTGTTGCCAGTATTTTGTTAGCAATCATCACAGCAACATCTTTTACCAGGTGTTTTGTGCTCAGTAAAGATATTATTCTAAATGTCAAAAATTCCTACATATACGCATATGGATAGTGAAAGGTAAAAAAGAAAGCATTTATGTTTATCAATATCACAAAAAATCAAACTGTTGGAAAAACTAGACCAGGGTGAAAGTATGAAGCATCTGACTGAGGAGATTGGTGTTCAAACATCCACCATATATGACGTAAGGAAACAAAAAGAGAAATTGTTAAAGTTTTATGAAAGTGATGAACAGAAATTAATGAAAAATAGAAAAAACACTGCACAGAGCAAAAAATAATGATCTCAGTCATGTACTGATGGAGTGTATTCATCAGTGTCGGAGTGAATATGTGCCGCTTATATAAAATTATCTTCAGGATATATGGAAAAGCTGTGTTATGAAATGTAAAGGGATATTGTGTTTATGCTTGGGTTCTATTCCCAAGCTGCCCCATTTTATAGATGCTATATAAAAATTAAATGGACTGTATTCCAAAATCAAAAAAAATCTGAAAACCAAAGCACTTCCAGTCCCTAGAATTTCAGATAAAGGTTTCATATCTTGTATTACCTTCCTTTTTCAATTATTATTGTTATGTTTACCTAGAACACCAGACCAGATTCAGAGATGGTATCCACAACCTAAATACTCACATAATGTCAAGTTCTGCCAAAAAATAACAAAGTATACTGAAGATAAAATATGTAAAAAATGTTATTAAAAAGTCCCAAAGGGTCTACAATTAGTAATATCAGAGCTTTCTTTTATACAAATTTCTGAAGACCAGATTCCCACATAAGGAAAATATAATCAAAGGCTGTGTATATAATCTCATAAAATTGTGGTAGAGACTAAAAAAGAGAAGCCAGGAGCCCCTAAAGATCTGACTTCAAAAAACATTGAAAAGTCATTATCCAAGGTGAAATAACAGATGTGTGGAACAAAAAGCAATCATATTATTCTTGATAGAACAAAGTTAAAACATTATACATGGAACCACAATAGAAAATCTATAAAGTAAAAGAAGCTGTATATATGAATACATCAAAAACTAAAAGTGTAAATAAATCAAGTGTAGATTTTATTATTATATGGGAACCAGTAATCAAGAGAAGAATTCTCTGATAAAAATACTGAGATGGATTTTTCCAGTTTTGCCAGAAAATATTTTCACAACAAAATATGGCTTTGTGACTGTGGCATTCTTGTTGAGGAGAAAGAAAAAAGAAAAAGCAATACAGTGTACAGCTAAGGAAGATCCAAGAACATATTGGCCAACAAAATATCATAACTATTGGTTCCAATCTGCATAGGAATGATTGCTAAAAACATCCTCGCCCCAAGTTTATAGAAAAATCCTACAAATGGATACTGAAATTTGTTCCTAACCAATAAAAAATTGAACCACTTCTTTCTCTGATTCACCATATTTTTGTTCTTTCTTGTCATAAAATTAGAACACTACAATCATTTGACTGTACCCTTTTTGCATGTAAACACAATTCTTACTTTGTTAATTTTTTGCCTTATTACTGTACTGTTGCTGTGCCCTGTTTTGTTTTGCATATTATTTGATTAGTATTATTTTGCTCTGCTCTTTTTCTTCCTTTTCTTACTGTTTATTGCAAACTTTGTCAATTCCATTTGTTGAGAATTTTTGCCAAAGACATTTAACCATGGTCAACTCCACATAAATAATAAATAGAAATAGAAATGATGAGAATCTGCATATAAAGATGTAGAGACTAACATTTACAACGTTGGGATCATTGTAATTATTTTAATTGTAAATGTTTTTAAATGATCTGAGTTTAGGATTTAGAGAAGATTCCGCATATTAATTGTCCAAATTTTGTCTTTACACACGTCATATACGACATAGTGATAGGAATCAATTATTTATTCAAAATATTGCCTTCACACACACATCATATATGACAGAGATATGGATCAATGCAAAATATTTTAAACTGAGAGTGGTAGAAATTCACAAATAATTATTTTGTTTATTTAAACTAATCATCACAAAAATGTTAGCCTGTTATTTTTTATTGATTTAATCCTAATTCCAACATCAGTGTGTGTTACTGTATAAGTATGCATTTTTCAAGTTCATGCTTTTCCAATAATATTCAGCTAAAAACACAACTGAAATTGAAATCATTTTTACGTTATATGCTATGATGCTGTTTCCAACATGCCATTTTACCTCCACTATTAACATTTGAAAAAAAAAACCAATAAAAAATGAAATAGGATAAATATGAAACAAAAACAAGTACTAACTGTGGCTAAATTTTCAAGTCGAATGTGTTGAACTGTACTTTTTAATTCTTTTTCTCCTTTTGACAAAGTTTTGTTGAAGGTTGCATACATTTTGCTGCTGAGAGAGTGGAATTTTTTGTAAACAATGGACAAAGCTTTTCGGTCATGCTTAAGCTTCTGGATTCCACTTTCTATCTCCATTGACCAATAGTAAAGTGTTGACAAATGGCACACTTGGGTTGGATACTGAAAATGAAACAGACATTCATTAGTTACCCATTTGTGATGCACCATCTTAAAGGCATACAACTGTGAATGCTCATTATCTTTTATTTATATTTTTTTAATCATTTCACTCCAAGGAAGGAAATAAAGCTACTAAGATGCAAGTGATTATTAAGTGTGAGAGAATATGAGAAAAACAAAACATTATTAAGGAAAGAGAACAATAAAACAGGAATTAAGAAGACAGAAGATAACGATTGCCATTGCATTTAATATCTATTGCAATTATAATTAATATTTTACTAATATCTTCATCCATTGTTCATCTCAGAATCTATAGACAGGGTACAAAGCAAACAGATTAATTTTCTTTTGTCCAAATCCTATGTGACAAATCACTGTTTGTACAATTATTAATATTATTGATTTTGGACAAAAATGGTTAATTTGTTTTTTCTTCTCTAGCATAATCACATACTTGCTTCTTTATATGCCATTTTATTTTCAAAATTTATGTATATCAATCAAAACAGTAACATTTGTTTTCCATTTATTAGCTATTAGTATTTATATTGAGCACAAAGAACCAAATAGTATTTCAACTCTCACTGTTCAAATGTCTCCAACACCACTTTTATGACACATAAATTGTGTTAATTGATCAGTTTCTGTTATAGATAAAAATGCACACTGTGTGTATATAAACACATAAGGTAAGGTAAAATGTAACAAGAAAATCAATTTTTTAGTAATATAGAAGTAAATGATAAACACGACCAGATATGATTAATCTATATATATATATATATATATATATATATATATAAAGTTGTAACCTCTGTCTGTCTGTTGGTTTGTTATCAAATTCCTAGAGTTTTGGAGATAACCAAATATATTCTGAAACTACATTACTCAGGGTACTTGGATAAGTATATTTCATTTTGGTCCCTGGGGACACAAACCCCACCACTGAAGTTTTTTTTCCCCCTTTGATTTAAATTAAATTTAAATTTGAACAAAGGAATGACTCCTATCCAAAATATAGAAGGATAAAGCCAGAAGATGGAGGTCACATCAGCAAGATCAAAATGAGACAATATGGACATCAAGTTGAGCAAGAAATCACCAATCAGTGGATAGTGCATTATAATATATATTTGTTGTGACAATTCAACTGTCATATCAATGCTGAAATTTGCTCATCAATTCAATCAAGTATTGAATCAAATACATATCAAAGGGGTCAGCTCCAGTTGTTTTTGCACACCTCCTCTTAATGAAATTATTTTTTCCTTTGATTTAAATTTAAATTTGAACAAGGGAATGACTTCTATCCAAAATATAGAAAGAGAAAGCCAGAAGATGGAGGTCATATCAGCAAGATCATTGAGTAATATTGTAATGCTTCATTTTTCTCCACAAATTATAATAATGATTTAAAATCAATCATCATTTTCTTACAAAAAATGTGACACACAGCAATGTGCAAATAATTTGGCTGTTTACATTAATATACAGTTCAGTTATGCATTCATTTATTTTATAATTTTGACTTGCTGCATTGTGCTGCTGATTCATTATTTGAGCTTTGATAAAAAGAGACCAGGTTGTTATCAAATAATTGTTTGTCTTATATATTTACCTTTTGAGTAAGCTCTTCAAAGGGCATATTAACCTCAACTTCATGTATTGCTCTGAGACTCAGTTCACTGATTTCTTCAGACACAGCACTTTTTAATTCTCTAAGCCATTCTTCCACATTATCTTCAAGAAAAACCTGAAATATTACAATTTATGCACCACTGAAATTGCATATTAATGTACTTAAAATCAAAAGAAATTCTCTTGGAATCTCACTATAGAACATTTTCAGTACCAAATTTTATTCATATTAAGATGTTAAAGGTTGTCCTACTTCCTGTCACAGTTTTCTTCATTTATATTCTCACCATAAATCTATTTTCATTACTAGTGATTATTTTATTCAAAAATAACTTTTTTTTCTTCTTTTTTCAGCAAAACTAAAAAGACAATTGATTAAACAACAATCAGTGTTAAACAACATATACTGCAATTGACTGATTTCTAAACAGAAATTCTGTCATTATTAGATTAGTAACTAGCTTTTGCACAATGTTAGGGAAATCTTAGAAGTCTAATCAAATTTTATTGCTTATACAATCAGTTCACCTTTGTAAAAATCCAGAAGCTGTGAACAAAGCTTCCACATGAAGGAACATTGGTCACTATTTTAACATTTGTCTTTCTCTTTAACTGTTGTCCTCATCTTTATTGTCATATTTATGACATTTCTGCCATTGTATACTTCAGCTTTCTTCAGGTGATATATGTTGGAATTTCAATTCAAACTGAACCTTTTATTTAGTCCATGGGGGGAGGGAGTAGATTGTTTCAGTTCCATGTGCCATGCCTTTTCTAGATATCTCAGTTTTCAGTTAATTTCTCTTTCGTAACTCAACTTTCCAAATTTGTTTTTGTTCACCTCTGTTGTGGCTCACAACACTTTGGGTCAAGTCATTTTTGGATTACTTCAACCAACGCTTTTATGCACTGGGCCAAATAAAGGGTTCAGCTCGAAATTCTAACATATATCACCTGAAGAAGGCCAGAGTGTACAATGGCTGAAACATTGGGGATATGACGATACAAATGAGGACAACAGTTTGGACAATATAAATAGTGTAAATATTTATAATGATACTTTAATTAAAGGTCATACTTTATGCAATAATCATTATAACAAGTATATTAAACATGAAAAATAACTTTTCCAATATATGCAGTTAATAATTTTGATAAAGTGGAATATTTCATGTAAATCAACCATAAAAAGTTATGCTAACAGATCTACTTAAGTCAGTGTTTTTAACAAAGGTCCTGTGTTTGGTAAGATTCCAAGGAAATTCTTTGTTATGAATTGTTAATATCTAGACAAACTGTTGCTGTGCAATGTTACAATAGACAATTGGTAGATTTGAATGATACATTGGAAGAGAAAAAAGAATTTAGTCAATGATGTTGACTAGTCTTTCTCCTGCATGACAATGCCTAATCTTATATTGCACAAAAATGCAGCAATGATCAGGAAGTTGGAAGATAATCATCGGTATCTCGTTAGCAACTTCCAAAAATTTTAAATATCAAAAAATCATTGAAAGAAATTATCAAAGCAAAATTAGAAATTATTTTTTTATAACAAAATGCACAATTTTCCTGAAAGGTGACATACAATCCTAGAAAGCCTAGGAAAATACTCTGATATCTGTGTAGTATTTGTCTCAGCCTAGATGATGATATTAGAATAGGCTTTGTACTTAATGTCACACCATCAAAGCTGTGATATGTACACATAGGAAAAAACAAATGACAAGTAAATATATTAAATCCATCAAAGAGGCATCAGAACAGAAGCTCTCTTGCATTCACATTCAGAGAAGTCCCCAAAGGCTACACACGCACTGGCTGATGGTGATTGCTAATGTTTGGAATTGAAATAAACACGTAATATCATGTATAAAAGATTCAGTATCATGTTCTCATTTGTAATCTATGATGATAACATTACAGTTGGATAACAATGCTATGATTCTATCAACACAGACATTTTTAATAAGATTTAAGATTTCATTTATTTAAAAATGAATTTAGATTAAATAAAGAGAATGTAAATCAATCATCTTCTTATAAGCTTCTTATTTGTTCATTTAGAAGTAAAATTTGCTTGAATATGAAATTTTATATAATCTTCAACAGAAAGTGGTGCATATTTTTCTAACAAGATTTCTCAAATATTCAGGCTGTTAGATGGAAATAAATAAATATACTGTTTAATAAATAAATAAAAACAGAATATGTACTTAAATATGAATATCCACTAAAAATATCATTTAAACAAATAAATTAAAATAAGCTGGAAATGAAAAATCCATTACTAAAAAAGTTGTCTTTGTTTATATTCAGATATGAAACAGAGCAGATATGTATATTTCAAGAATTAGCAAAAGATATGTCTTCAAAAGTACTATTCAGGCTTTGTCTGATCAGGAGTTCCTACATGGCCAAGAAGTCAAGGCACATCAGATCTAATGATGGTTTCCCCTAGGGGACGCAGGTTCAAATCCTACCAGAGGGCACACATTTTTCTAACAAGATTTCTCAAATATTCAGGCTGGTAGATGTAAATGAATAAATATGCTGTTTAATAAATAAATAAAAACAGAATATCTACTTAAATATAAGTATCCATTAAAGATAAATAACACACACACACATATATATATATATATATATATATATATATATATATATATATATATATATATACACACACACATGCACAAGGTGTATCAAAAATACTTTTTCAAACTTTGGGGGCAGGTTCCATGCACATATGTCCACAAAGATTCAATCCAAAAATACTTTTACAAAGGTTGGATGACTCAGCTGCCTTCGGTCTGGAAAAGCAATCTGATACAGCCATTCAGACTCAAAGTCGTATGTAAAAATCGTATCTGCCTGCTCGCAATATGAATATCCTACTATTGTTAAACAAATCATTTCTCAGTTAATTCACTACTACACACATTAAATGTTGAAGACAGACTAATCACAAATGTACACAAATGACAAATGTAACCTAGTCTAGATGGCAAACACAGTGCCATATACCATACACTTAATGTAAACTTAATAACTCAAAAATAAAGGATTTGCAGACATATGTTTATATTGACTTTTGTCCTTATTTTGGTGTGAGGATCCCACCCTCAAAATTTGTAAAAGTATTTTTGATACACCCTGTATACAATTTCAAGTGATGCTAATATGTAAATAGTATGTAATCTCTCTTCTAAGGAGTCTCATCTCAGAGTTATTCAAATACATTCATCAATTTTTACTAGTTAAATAATGAGAAAAATGTTATAAAAATGCACTAATTCTTTAATAAATTACAGTTTAAAGATGTTAACTGCTAAAAGAAATATGGGCAAGAATAGAAATAAATTCTCTATAACAAATCCACTAAGGACATCACAACTCCCAAGTTTAAGAAAATACAATGCAATGAAGTGGATGTTCACTGACAGAAATAACATGAAATGCAAAGATTTGGCATCTTGTCAACAAATGTTTGGGCGTCTTTGTAATGTTTCTGTATCTGGCTTGTGTATATTTGCTTTCTAGATCTGTATTCTTCAAAGAATTAAGATTGCGACATCTATCAGAGAGATGAAATTTTAATTTTTATTATTGTATTATTCCAAAATATTAACACATCAGCAGATAGCTATTAATCTCAACAACTGATCACAAATAGTTATTGATAAAAAAAAAGTAATTAATGTATAATATTATCCATAACTACATGTACAAGAACGTCATTTTTGATAAAAGTTAAAAAATAACCATAAATATTTTTAAAAATGCATATATTGTCAAAAATTCCTTTTTCCACAATATAGCAATTTGTGCTGTTATAATGCTTATTACCTAAACAATAATAATACTGAATAATTTTTTTAAATATTAAAGTATATTTAATCACATCTCCATAATAGCTGTTGTGATCAGTTATCTAGTCTATCCATGAATTGCAATATGTCATAGTTTACAGTAGAAGAATAAAGAGTCAAACAATCAACAAATGAGTGCTTATTGTATTTCAGGAAGCATTTTCACAATCTGGTTGCATCTTAGTTTTTCAAATGACATGATTATGGAACATATTACAGTTGTAATTAGCCATTGACCGATTGCTACCCAAAACTATAATTTGTCTAACTATAGCAATCAATGATTTTCTACAGTATTCTTTTTATTCTTATATCTACTTAGCATCATTAAAAACATACAACAATTCAAATAATTTATTTTTTTAATTTATTTTTTCTTTTCAAGTGATAGCCCAAACATTTTTAAATTAAATTGTGACAAGAGGCAGCACATTCAATTATAATTCTGTACACAACATAATAAAATGATTGTGTGATAAGAGAATTTTTCATTACAAATGCTTTTTTTTTAAAATAAGTAAAATAAGTTTGAAAACAGAGAAAGCATTAGTTTTAATTAAGAGTAATTATTAAAAAAATATTAGCTAACCTTTTTATTGAGGCTTATTTTTTCACCATCAGAACTCTTCACAGCCACAATTTTTATCTTTTCATTTTCAGTAAGTTTATCATTTTCATTTTTCATTGTCACATTAATCTGTAAAAAATTTATAAGTGGGATTATCAGTAAAATATACCAGGATCACTTGGGTTGATATAAAAGATCAGAGTATGGTTGCAATCTCTTTTAAAATGGAATTTGGAATGACAATGAATGTATGCCTGAATGCTAAAAATTTACAAGAAATCTTTTCATTATTTTTTGTAGAGGTCATCATTATATAAAATAATTAAAGCTTACATCTGAAACTGTTTTATCATTCATAATTTCTGATTGGCATGTTTGAAATTCTATTTCTCTGTTGCTGCTGAGTTCATTTTCTGTCTGAATGTGGGTTATATGACCAAATAAAGATCTAGAAAATAAAATCAAAAAGATTTGTAAAAGTAAATTGATTTTATTTTAACTTTAAGAATTTTTTTATACAGAATTAAATAAATGTTGCAGTTTTATATAACCCAAGAAATTTAGATTAAGAAAATGTCAGATAAAAATATGTTACAGTGTGGTAGATAAAAGAACTTATTTCTGAAAATTAAGCCAAGTTGTAGAGCATAAAAGTTATATTTAAAATGTCTTTGTTTTATATGGCTATAATTATGATATCATATTTATTTTTTACATTAGTTATCATTAAATCTTTCAAAACCTCATTTATAAAAGTGCCAAAAACTGTTACATTCAACTTTAACTGAAGCTGATAAAGTAAGTTCATTTTCTTATATAAAATGTTACTTTGTATATCATGTGCTGTCTAAAGTCATACATATTATGCTTGAAATATTAACAACATTGGGAGCAAATTAAAATTACTCTAATAAAAAAGAACTTGAATTTTTTTAAGCAATCAGAGGACAAAAAAAGAAAAAAAAAGAAAGAAGACGGTAGATTGCAAAGTAAAAGATCCTTCACTTACCCCCATATCATCCCACCCAACTCAAATGAGAGATAGTCATATGTTTACAGCTTTGGAAATCAAAATTAATTTCAGAGCACAATTGAAATTAACTTAGCCTTGCTCTGTTGGTGAAAACTGCTATTTTAAATCTTGGAAAAAAGCAACTAAAGTGTTATTTGCAAGTAACTTACAATGCCTTGAGCTCTTTTGTAAATATTTAGACAAGAAAAAAAATGAAGTTTACAAAGAAAAGAATAAAAAATAAAGATTTTAAAATAAATTATTCATACTTTAAGTAGGGTGTTACTGACTCCAAAGACTGTGTACAACTGAGTATAGCCAGAAGGATTGGGTCTGAAATAAAGAAGAATCGAGGAAACTCCAATCTTTTCTTTTCTAAATAGTGTCCCAAAGATCTGAAACAGGATTCCAGGCCTTCTTGAATGCTAAGTAGAATGGATGGTAATGGAACATCTCCACCACAACATGCCTGGTAGTAAAAGAAAACTAAAAGTTGAAAATATATAGCTATCACAGATATAAAATTATAAAATTAGACTCATTACTTTGGATAGCATAAAAATCATATACAATATAAAATATTTTTTCTGTTTGACAGAATGTTAATTATTATAAATTATTAGAAGTACACCTGAAAATTTAAGTTTTCCTTTTTGAATATTCTGATGAATTTTAATTCTTAAGTTAATGATTAAACAAGTTTATGGTGAGTTTTACAACAATAAAATATCTATAACAGTTCCCCTATCACATTGTTAAATATTTGGGCATAACAACATTAACAAAATATTGCAATAAAAATGATATATATGAATGCTGGTCATTATTTTAAGAAGTGAGGGGGTACAAATGAAAAGATTTGAAATTGACAACTTTTTCTATATCAGTGAAACAGATGTTAAACTCTTCTATCTTCTTTTCTTTCTGTAGTGATATGTTAATGATTGCCTAATTAGCATAGCTAAAGTATAGACTATATAAATGCCTGCCTGACCACTATGAGTAGATCAGTTGTTGGTATGTGAGATAAATGACTAGCACTGGTCTGATAAAATACAAAGGAAAACACACTTCTTAACACTTTCATTCTCTCACTGAAACCAAGTAGTATCTCTGATATATCTTTTGTCTTTCTGCACAATGAAAATGGAATAGTTCATTATTTATGATGTATTGGCAAGAGACCTTAAACAATTCTTTTCTTTATTTTTTCACTGAAACCAAGTAGAGTCTCTGATACTATAAATATTAATCTAAATATCAAATAATCTTCTTGCTTAATTATTATTTTTAAACACTTTTCTGATACAGTATGAGATAAATATGAGTTTATTCATAATGATTATTTTATTTTTTGCTATTAGCCATTTTAAGACATATTTCTTTAATTTCAGCAAACAGCAAATATAAACTTGCAATGTGTAAATAATATTCAAGTATTTCTGTACAAAAACTGTAAACTCAAAATATAAAGTATGATTTAACTAAATAAAGCAGTTTCTAACAATTATATCTATAACCCATTTAAACATTTAGTGTCAAATAAAATAGGTACTTTGTCAATTCCATTCAAAATCATTCAGATTTAAGGCAAATGAATTCAGACAATGTACGGTTCCATTTTTGCACACTAATCTAAAATTTAATCAAATAGTCTCCTTTGATAGTTGAGGGCATCTTTTAGTGAATGGCATTAATACTTCCTCCTTAATATTTACCTCTCAAAGTTTTCCCCTAACTAAAGTTAGATTACAAGAAAAGCTTTTTGCAATATCTTCATTCTGAATTTACTTTTCAAAAATATTTAGTTTTAAGTATTGTAAAGCAACAATTCAATAAGTTTGCTAAATTTACCATGTGATTGTTTTTCCAATACAATGAACATAATTAAATCTTGATTATTTTCTGTCAACTGACCTGAATCACATTTTTAGTTTCATAATTTTTCTTCATTATTTTTGTCCAGTTAACATGAATTGCTGCAAATTTCTGAGATTCCTCTTGTAAATCCTGCATTAAAAAAAGGAGATAAATTCAAAAATTTATGTCAACCTATATCTGTTTAAAAGATAATTGAAAAGTGAAAAAAAATTACTTGTCATTTTATTTAGACAAATAGAAATGCAGAATATTTTATATTAAATGTAACTGTGAAAACCACAGCTGTAAGTAATTAATATTTGATTAAGAAACAAGTAATTAATATTTGATTAAGAAATAAGAATTGTGCTTAATGTTTTCAATATGTTGATATTTATTTGCATTGTCTTCAGAATATTGTCACGTGAAAATATTATTCTGCAAAAAGTAACTATTTTACAAACATTACAGCTTCAAAAATGAAAACTTAGTTTTATCAACTTTGAAATTATAATAAAATTAACTTACTTTACTCATGACCTTATTACAGAATACAGCTTCTAAATAAATCCAAAGATTTTGAACATTAAGCCAGAGGTCAAGAACATGGCTGACTTCTTTCAATTTTTCAGACCAAGTAGCCACATCTTCTCGCATGGGGGCAATATGCTGTGACATAAGCATACTGGCTAAAGTAACCTGTGAATCTTCCAACTGTTCCAGTAATCTTCCTGTGAAATCTTGATCAAGAACTATAGGCCCCAACTTCTTGTAATCTTGAAAAAGAAGAACTTGTTCCAACCATTCTTCTTCAATTTGGCTCATTTTTAATTCATGTTCCATTTCTTTCTGAGCAATTTCAGAGATTTCATTTATTTCAGACTGATATCTGAAAACCAAGTATAATAAAGGATAAAGGAGTATTAAAATAATTTCTATCTATTTCCCATCATACTCCATAAAAATCACCCAAATTTTAACCAGAAAAGAAATTTGTATTCACTACAGACAGTAGTCTTGTGAAATCCATAATAACCAATGATATAAATAATTATAAGTAAAACTATTCCTATTATTGTTTTAAATATTAGTGACAAAACAGCTTGGTTTTAAACAATCTATAGTAGTGACATGCAGAGCATTGGTGATGTCTATGGGGCCAACTCCTTGATTATATGCCTCTAAGACTCAAATAGGGGACCTGTTTCAGTCTCACTTATCAAAATGCAGATCCACATTCACACCAGCTTATGTGCTTGTACAATGAGACAATTTCAAAAACTAAATTTTTATTTCATTTTTTGATTGGATGCCCTCCCAATATGGATGCCTGAGACAGTTAAACACTCTTTCCCATCTTCTGTATGCTACTGTTCTATAGTCACTTACAGATGACTATAGACTTATTTTTATAGGTCTTATTTTTATGAAGGAATATCATAAAACTCCCACTTTTTTCTCTACTGAATTGTTACAATCCTTTTTCTTTTCTTTCTTTCTTTCTTTCTTTCTTTCTTTCTTTCTTTCTTTCTTTCTCCCTTGACTGCTGCAAATTGCCTTTGTTCATTTTTTTTATATTCTCTGATTATTCATGATCTGTCTCTGCTGGTATGGTATCAATGACTAGATTCTTCTTCTTTTATGTGCCATGTCCCTCCAGGACGTGGGCGATCATGGTTGTCCACAACTTAGAACTTTCATAGCTCTCGGCAATGTTTGTCTTTTAACTATCCCTGCCATTCCCTGATCTGCCATCCAAAATACAATCTCATTAGGTAGGTTACTCAATGCTTTCCTGTCTCTCTTGCCTTCAATATGTCCTGTGAATGTTAAATTCTCCAAGCCCTCTTTCTTTATTAAATATCCTAGAAATTTCAACTGTCTCTTTCTAATGCTAAGATGGGACTCATTTAATCATGGGAAACATAGAGATGGTTTACACACGCCACAGTTACATGTTGTTAGAGTTGATAGCTTATTAGGATTTAATATGGAGGTTCTACTGAAATTTATCAAGGATTTTGAACAAGTTGATCTAAGCCATTGTGCTGTGGAATTCTGAAGATTTTTGCAATAATATGTTTTAGTACTGTAATAGGTAAATTGAAGTGACAAACACTAAAAAAAACAAGTTACTTAATTTCAATATAGTGGTGTGATATTATGATTGAATTATTATAGAACAATGCTATTATCTAACTGAAACAATATTCTTCTTACAAGTTGAGTGTGTAAAGTATACTATAGGATATTATTTTTAAACTGGCAGTACCTTGATGGCAACCAGTTTGAGTGTTAATTGTGGACAGGCTCTACACTTTAACTTTGCTTTTAATCTTATTGCTTTTCTCTTAGGTATAAATTTAAGCACAGTACTAAATTGGTGGTTAGGTCTTATCATTTTATAGCTGAAATGGCTAGATGTAATCATAAGTTCTATGTTAACAATTTCTTCTCTCACACTTCTTGCTTGTGGAGCTCTCTT